TACTAATAAATGTGGCGTTCTGCCTTATTCCCCCTGAAAAGATCCTGTGCAGTACTTTAAGTACAACACCTATTTATTATAGCTATACTGAAATTATTAAATTAAATATTCACATTTTAAAAGAAATAGAAGAGACTACAATAGGGGTTGCCTAGCTCCCATTGTCTGTAGGAGTTTAATTCCCTAGAACCCCTGATTGTAGACAACAGGAAGTCTGTAAGAGCTCCTGGTCAGTTCCTATCCCAAAATTAATCATCCTCAACAGATTTTCAGAGCATAGAAAGAAACTGGTCCATAATGTGCGTATTCTAAACCTCTGTAATTTCACCTCATCAGCGATTCAACTTTCTGTATATGCTTGGAAAGAGCTGCTTATATCTTTCTAATTCCACAACTAACAACTCTAAGGCATCAAGACCAACCAAAAGAAAAACAAATCTTCAAAATGACATGACCTCCAAACCTTTTCAGAATAATAAACTGCCTTTAAAACAAAACAAAACAAAACTCTCTGTCTCCAAAATGATTGATTTGAGCCAAACTTAAGAAAAGTCTGTGCTAGGGTATGATGTATTTTATAAAATTTGTAGTAATGTTAATATTGGTTAAAGTTGGGGTTGGAGGTTAAATGGGAAGCTCCTTTAAACTAACTATAGAGAGACTCATTTCTGTGTAATGTGAAAGTGAAATGAATTATATTAAAGAATTAGAATGAATTAAAGAATGCTGTATGTGCCTTTAAGTAGAAATGAGAAATGCTGCGATCCAGGTGTCAGGAAGGCAGACATTAAGGTAGAACAATTGCTCCACTTAAGGGCAATTGGTGAAGTATTAGCCTTAGGGCTGGTCTACACTGGGGGGGGGAAATCGATCCAAGATACACAACTTCAGCTACAGTCGAAGTATGTTGGATTGAATTACCTGGGGTCCACACGGCGCGGGATCGACAGCCGCGGCTCCCCCGTCAACTGCGCTACCGCCGCTCGCTCTGGTGGAGTTCCAGAGTCGACGGTGAGTGCGTTCGGGGATTGATATATCGCGTCTTAATGAGACGCGATATATTGATCCCGGATAAGTCGATTGCTACCCGCCGATCGGTGGGTAGTGAAGACATACCCTTAGATTGATAAGAGTTAGTAAGGAAGTAGGATATGCTTGCTGTGCCCCAGGTAAATTTTACAATTTTGCTCTCTTTGTCCCTTTGTTTAGTTCGCGTCCTTTTATCTGTATAAATAAGACTGTTTGGGTCTTGCACGGGGCTCATGTTATCTGAATGTATTAGCAGAGCGCTGTGCTAATAAAACAGAGTGGTCTGACAAACTGAGTCCTGAGTCTAACTTTGACAGTAATAACAGAACACATGATATATGTCCTCATCTTAAATAGAAGTGCAACCTATGGAATCTGCAGGTTATGACATGCAATACTTCTTGCTTCAAACAGCTAAGTTATGAAGCATAAGTGTCTGCATTCCACACCTCCATACCAAAGATGAAAGTGGATGTATGATGGATGCCCTGGTTTTATACTGGATATATGTTGGAGTCTAATAATATCAGTTTTATTTTAATTTGCTTTATTCTGAAAGGCAATACAATTATTTGATGATTTGTTGTATGAATTATCCAGTCAAGCCAAAGGACTAACCAGCCAGAACATAGAATTATGCAAAGCGGTGAGGAATGTTTTACAGGTAAGTCTATTGAAATGAGCTGTAAGAGGCGTGGTTAGGTGATTATATGTTTTTTACCAAAACTGTGGAGAGATTTGTGAAGTGTTTGTGTAAAAAAGCAAGCAGATGTTGTTCTAAATGCTCTCAAGGAGCAGAGCCGGTATTTAGGAAGGTGCCGTTTTTTTCATAATCATTTTTTAGGGTATAACTGTGCTTTGAAAGCTCTGTTAGTTGATACTGTTAATCTTGAAATAATAAATAACTGATAAACAGCAGACAATACAAACATGATTCTCACGTAAAGAGAATATGACATCACAGAAAAGCTGTGGTCTGAAACTGCTGCTGTCCTTTTTACAGTGCTTCATTAATCTTTCTGGCTTCCTAATACTTTTCCATTTGCTAATGTCCTAAAAGACAGAGCAGTTTAGCCAAATGCATAAGGGAAGAGCTGATTTATAATTTTTGCTTTTTGAATTAACTGCTGCAGTGTATTGTTATAGATTGTGCCTTCAGTGATGATGATGATGATCTCACTTGCAGACTATGGTGCAGCTGCTGGAAACTCTGACGGGTTGTGTGCGACATATCTGTACCCTGCAGGAGCCTGTGCCTTTAGAGAGTATCTGTAGCCTTCCCTCTACCATTCTTTATGTAATCAAAAACACATTTATGCACTGCAAGGTAGGTGTCTGGATTAATAGGAGAAAAAACTATTCTAGATCTAGTTATAGATCATTTTAAAAAAATCCTTTGAGATGTGCTTTTTTTTTTTTTGCTTTGAAAAGTTACTTTTGTGGCTTTCCATACTTGTTGCCTCAATATTGGATCAAATGTGCTCAGTTTACAAGTATGAAGATGGCTTTTCCATCTGCCAGCCCTGCAAACTCAGCGTGGCCTCTGAAAGCCAAGCTGTTATTTCCATCTTGTGCATTATTACCAGTAATAAAGGTTCTTCTGATTAAATTCATACCATTTAAGATGAGAAGGGATCATTAGATTATCTAGTCCGATCTGTACATCACAGGCCATTACACTTCACCCAGTTACTCCTGTATTGTGCCCAATAAGTTGTTTAACTAATTAGGCCCTCATTGACACACGTGCAAGCCCATTGTCTTCAGTGGGTTTGCAGAGATGTAAGTGATTATGGATGTGTTAATATTAACCCTATGATTCAGTGCAAGTTTCAAGGCAGACTTGCGATTGGGATTAAATACTTTGCATTATGTATAAAAACATGTTGGTGTCGCATTTTACAGCACCTGCACATGGAGGAAAACTGATTGTTGTGCTTGAAACCTTTCCTGCTGTAAGCAGTGCCGGTATCATAAGACATAGTAATTTGTCATCCATCCTACTGGCATCAATTTCACTTTTGAGCTTGTCTTCCTTGCTTATTAGAACCTTTAAATACTTATGGAGCCAAATTACACAGTGAGACCTTGCTAAGGACTTCTCCTCCAGTAGGAAAATCATGGGAGACGGGAGAGATTACAGAAGACCTGAAAAGGGCAAATATAGTGCCCATCTATAAAAAGGGAAATAAAATCAACCCAGGAAACTACAGAGCAGTTAGTTTAACTTCTGTGCCAGGGAAGATAATGGAGCAAGTAATTAAGGAAATCATCTGCGAACACTTGGAAGGTGGTAAGGCGATAGGGAATAGCCAGCATGGATTTGTAAAGAACAAATCGTGTCAAACCAATCTGATAGCTTTCTTTGATAGGATAACGAGTCTTGTGGATAAGGGAGAAGCTGTGGATGTGATATACCTAGACATTAGTAAGGCATTTCATACGGTCTCGCATGATATTCTTATCGATAAACTACACAAATACAATTTAGATGGGGTTACTATAAGGTGGGTGCATAACTGGCTGGATAACCGTACTCAGAGAGTTGTTATTAATGGTTCCCAATCCTGCTGGAAAGGCATAACAAGTGGGGTTCTGCAGGGGTCTGTTTTGGGACCGGCTCTGTTCAATATCTTCATTAACGACTTAGATATTGGCATAGAAAGTATGCTTATTAAGTTTGCAGATGATACCAAACTGGGAGGGATTGCAACTGCTTTGGAGGACAGGGTCATAATTCAAAATGATCTGGACAAATTGGAGAAATGGTCTGAGGTAAACAGGATGAAGTTTAACAAAGACAAATGCAAAGTGCTCCTCTTAGGAAGGAAAAATCAGTTTCACACACACAGAATGGGAAGAGACTGTCTAGGAAGGAGTATGGCAGAAAGGGATCTAGGGGTTATAATGGACCACAAGCTAAATATGAGTCAACAGTGTGATGCTGTTGCAAAGAAAGCAAACATGATTCTGGGATGTATTAACAGGTGTGTTGTGAGCAAGACACGAGAAGTCATTCTTCCACTCTACTCTGTGCTGGTTAGGCCTCAACTGGAGTATTGTGTCCAGTTCTGGGCACCACATTTCAAGAAAGATGGGGAGAAATTGGAGAGGGTCCAGAGAAGAGCAACAAGAATGATTAAAGGTCTTGAGAACATGACCTATGAAGGAAGGCTGAAAGAATTGGGTTTGTTTAGTTTGGAAAAGAGAAGACTGAGAGGAGACATGATAGCAGTTTTCAGGTATCTAAAAGGGTGTCATAAGGAGGAGGGAGAAAACTTGTTCACCTATACTGTAATCTTGTAAAAAAGGAAGATGTCAGGCTGGTTAATTCTTGCTGAAACACACTTTGCTGCGGCTCTGCAGACAATACATAATATCATGGACTTTAAATTGCTTGTCACTTTTCTCTGAGATAGGATACTTATTCAGTTTGCCCTGGCAATGAGGAAAATAGCATAATGTAGGCGTAATTGAGGGCACATTTTGATGCTGCACTTGGAATTTAAGCCCAGATCCTTCAGTGAGTTGGGTGCAGATGGACTGTCCTGTGCACATTTCATTGCAAGG